ATGAAAGTTTAACACCTCTGTGTGCTCTCTTTGTGAAACTGTTGAGCCTATCTGAAGCCAGGAGGCAGGAGCATTCTGTAAGTCTTCGATACAGGTGCACAATCCCAAGGACTTGAACCATCTTCCACTGCTTTTCCTAGAACATTAACAGGAAACTGAGTCAAAAAGTCTAGCCAGAAAACAAACCAGTACACATACCACTGCTACTGCCACAGGCAGCAACTTCACCCGTTATGGCATAATGCCCATCTCAGTACTCAAATTTTTAAAGCATTGTTGAAGGATCAGCACTGTTTTACCACATGTTACACTGCTGCTTACAATGCCAGTATCCCATCTGGAACTCCAGTTTGAGTCCTGGGTTCACTTCTAATCTAACTCCCTGCTAATGTACCTGGGAAACTAGCAGAAGATGTTTAAGTTCTTGTGTCTGTGCCAAACATGTGGAAGAACTGGATGGAGTTATAGACTCGTAGCTTTGGACTAGAGCAGTCCTAGCTATTATAGCCTTTTGGCAAGTGAACTAGGACATGAAAGATCTTCCACTCTCCCGCTCCCTGCCATTCAACTAGATAAAATGAATCTTTTAATAATCCATTGAGCTATACAATTATGCATCTATGTATCTATATCATATATATCATAGATGACATGTGTCATATATCTATACCATATGTGTCATCTATGATATATATGTGATATATGATATATATCTATAGATGTTTCATCTGAGTGGGAGAAATATATAACTCCTAAAAGACAGCTAAACAAAAGAGGTATTTTAAGTGCAACCATTTGATTTAGCTATAAGTCTGACTGTAAATATATCTGTACTTTCTTAAAAATAATTTCTCAAATAGCAAACATTAAAAGGCAAATAATCAAATATCTTATTTAAAAAGCAATATATTGTGCAAGACCAATATTCATTTATAGAAAATATTTATATGAAATGGGTTTCAATTGTAACACTGTTAATTAAAACATGTGTGCCTCATTCCCAAATGAATTCTTGAAGTCCATTTGAGTATTCAGCAAGTATTTGGCTAATTGAATTGATCATGATACAAAACACAGCCCGAGGTTTGCACACATTCCTTATTAAATTAACATTCCTTTGTTCATAAATTGAAAATTATTTAATTATAATTGCAAAAATTCTTAGCAGGTATATTATATATTCTCATTTTAATTTAATGAAATGATTTCATATTTTAGCAGTTCTTAATAAGCATAAATAAAAGACTAAGGAATATGTAGATGCAAATACCTAATCTGTGATATGACTATATTAAAACCATGTTTGAATTTATGTAATGCTTATTTTTGAACATAATTGAAGTTGTACTCCCTATAATTTTCAAATAGTAATTTCATTTTTGTGCTAACCATTTAAGATATTCATCATTTGATTACCTAAAGGTCTATTACATTTAACAACTTATTATTTTTTCCAGTAGTGTATTTGAAGTAGGCTTATTTGAAATCTTCTGCTTATCTTGCTTGTGTTCACCAGTGACCTGCAGTCAAGGGGCAGTGTAGCTCAGAGTCTGTCTATTTATTAATCCATTTATTTGAAAATGAGAGTAACAGTGATATCTTTGCTCTGCTAGCTCACTCCCAAAATGGTCGCAGCACATGAGGCTGGACCAAGCCAGCACCAAGAGCCAGGAGCTTTGTGCTAGTTTCTCCAATAAAAGACAAAGGCCCAAGTACTTTGACTCTCTTCCACTGCTTCCCAGGCATATTGGCAGGAAGCCATACAGGAAGCAATGACAGGGAACAAACACAACATTCCAAAGGGCTTTCTACTGAATTCTGCAAAACATAAAGTTAGGCATTAACTAATGCTTCTCAAACTACTACAAACTATTGAAGATAATTAACTTTACCAAATATTTTTAAATATGCCAGCATCACTTTAATACCAAAACCAAGCAAAGACACAACACAGAAAGAAAGCTAGCTATAGATCCTTAATGGAACCTGTTACAAACATTCTTAACAAAATGCTAGTAAACCAGGGCAGACACAATGACCCAACTGGCTAATCCTCCAACTGCAAATGCCACATCCCCTATGAGAGCTGATTCATGTCCCAATTACTCCACTTCCAACCCAGCTCCCTGCTTGTAGCCAGGGAAAGAAGTGGAGGGTGCCTCAAAGCCTTGGGACCCTGCACCCATGTGGGAGACCTGGGAGACGCTGCCAGCTCCTGGCTTTGGATTGGTTCAGCTCCAGGCACTGTGGCCATTTGGGGAGTAAACCAATGGATGGACGATCTTTCTGTCTCTCCTCTGTAAATCTGCTTTTCCAATAGAAAATAAATCTTAAAAGTACTGGCAAAAAATACTAGAAAACCAAATGCAGTAATGTATAAAAGTGATCACTGCACTATCAAATGATATTCACTTCAGAGATGCAGGGTGATTCAACATTTAAAATAAGTATCATAAGTCATACAGAATGAATGAAGAACAAATCCATTTGGTTATCTTAATAAAGCGAACACATTTTACAAGTTCTAGCAGTGCTTCATGCTAAAAATCCTCAACAATTAAAAAGGAATATAAATCAAGATACAGTTACATATGACAAATAGCCAATGTCATGCTGAATGGGGAAAATGATGAAAGCATTGCCTTCAGATCTAGATCAAGACAAGGATGTCCTCTTTTACTACTCTTATTCAGTATAGTTTTGGAAATTTTAGCAAGAGCTAAATTATGGAAGAGAAAAAAAATTAAGGGACATTTAAATTGGAAAGAAAGATGCAAAAAAAAAAAGCCATATCTGATGATGACAAGCTCTTGTACTTGCAAAAGCCTAAGTGCTCCACCAAAAAGCTATTAGAGTTGATAAGCCAATTCAGTAATGTCACAGGATATGAAAATCAACATACAAAAAAGTAGTGCTTTTATATAACAACAATGTTCTCACTTAAAGATAAATCAATCATAGAATACTATTCTCAATAGCTACCAATATAAAATATTTAGAAATTAATTTAAGCAAAAAAGTGAAAGATCTCCAGTGAAAATTGCAAAGCCATGATGACAGAAATTATCAATGACACAAAACAATGGAAAGTTATTCCTTGTTCATATAGTTAAAATGTCTGTACTACATAAAGCAGTATGCAGAGTCAATGCAATCCTTAGCTATCAGTATTTGATCCAACATATAGAGATAAATTTATGGTTAATTAGACAACAGTGTGTTCATTTCTAAAATTAAAATCTTCCACCAGCATAACATATGTTAAGTATTTTAAATCAATTTTTCTGTGTCCTCAAAAGGGATTCTGAGTCATAATTTGGAAAGCATTTTTCAACTTTTAAAAAGATCCATTTGTTTATTTGAAATTTAAAGTTACAGAGAGAGACAGAGGCAGAGGGAGTGCAGAAGGAGAGAGATCTTCATCAACTGAATCACTCCCCATGTGGCCACCATGCTGGAGATGGACCAAGCTGAAGCCAGGAGCTAGGAGCTCCCTCTGTGTCTTCGATGTAGCTGGCAGGGGCTCAAGCACCACAGTTATTGTGTGCTGCATTTTCCAGGCCATTAGCAGAGATCTGTATCAGAAGTGAAACAACCAAGATGTTAACCAGCGCCCAAATGTGATCCTAGCATCTCAGGCAGTAGCTTTATCCACTTTGCCACAAAGCTTCCCCTTTGGAAAACATTTTAATGTTATATAGTGTTTTTATTTTAAATCCACAATTTTAGTTTTTTCTGTAATTTTCTATAAAGTGTGCTTTAATGAAGCTTTTTAAAATGTTTTAACTTCATGTTATATACTTGCTCTGGTAGGTCTCAACCAGGAGCATTTCTTTCCAAATTTTACCACCTCCCTAACCTCAAAATGTTTTGCATTCTAAAAGAAGTTTTGGCTGTCACAATGGTGGTGCTGGTAGAGCCTGTGGACTTTTTGCTGGTCTTTTGTCTTTTTTTTTCTCTTTAGTTATGTTTACGTTATATGAAAGTCAGCAAAAGAGACAGGCATCTTTCCAACTGCTTATTCACTCCAAAAATGCCTGGAGTTGCTACCCCTATCTAAACTGTATAGGGCAGGACTGGTATGTTCAGCATCCTGTACTGGACAGGAGAATCCTTCAAACAATGAATTATCCAGTCTTAAATGGCAATAATGGCAAAGTTGTGAAACCTTGCACTAATGTAAAATAGTAATAATAATGTTGAGAATTTTAAACGACATATTTTCTTGACCAGTTTCAAGGACTTGAGGAAGGGGGTAAGAGAAATCCCAGGGTCTATGGAACTGTCATAAAATGGTAATAATAATAAAAAAGAAGTGGCATTTTAAAAATTAAAGAGAACTAGAAATACAGTTGCCATAGGATCCAACAACCCTACTACTGTGTATATACCCAAAAAACTTGAACTCATTGCTTAAAATAGATAGCTGCTTCACCATGTTTGTAACAGTACTATTCATAGTAAGCAAAATTTGTAATCAGCTTAGGTGTTTATCATTAGATGAGTGGATAAAGAAAATATACTATATCCAACAGAATAGCATTCATCTATTTATGTATCTTCTGCAAGTTTAATGATTTTATAATTGCTTCTAAATCAATTGAATATGATTGTAGTTGAACATATTTTCATTTGATTTCTTACTGGACTACAGTCTTTTTTAGTTTTATTTGTTGAACACTTTAGCCAGTAGAATCAATAAACCTTTGACTATAATCTAACATAAATGTGTATTGTGAAAAATAATAGATAAAATATTGAATAGAAAAAATGTATCTGTGCTTCAATAAGGCTTTATTATTTTGTACCTGTAAACACTTTTTCTAATATTGCAATTGTTTTCTTGAAAGTGAATAAATTTTCTTAAAATGAATGATGTATTGTTAACATTTAATTGCCCATTTTCTCTAAAACACTATGTTTTTTTCCCCCAGTTTATTTTTTTCAAAACACTTTGAGAAATATGTCATTTTTAAATACTTTTTTCCTTCTTTCTTCAGGCTAGAAGAACAAAAGAATATCCTCTCGGAATTTCAAAGAGATTTAAGTGAATTTGTTTTGTGGTTGCAAGAAGCAGATGCCATTGCCAGCGTTACAGTTGAACCTGAAAATGAGCAGCAACTAAAAGAAAAGCTTGACCAAGTCACGGTAATTTAGTTTTCTAAAAATACATCAGAACCCACTTATATGAAGAGTATACAAATCTGTTTTAAAATTTTAAAATATAAAATTTAAAATTTTAATCATTGATTTCTTGCTGATTAAGTTGTGATTCATCACGAAATTTTTTTCTCTGTACTTTATTTTTCCACAAGCAACTCTCAATATATGTATATGTGTATGTATGTATTCATATATGTATAGATGCATGCATTACCTATAAGTTGCATCTATTTATACATAATGAATGAGAGTTATTTTTAATTAATTTGAAATTTAAAAAATGTTTGGCACATCTACAGCTTCAGGTAATTTCGAAATTGAAGAACAGAGTACAGAATCAAAGTATAAATCCAAGTGAAAATTATTTTTTAAAACTTGTTTTAAAATGTTGTATTAGCATGCAACAGCTGGGTTCAATGCAATATTTCAACTTAGATGTGTAGCTTAGCCCACCATATCAAGCAATTAATCTTTTCCTTTGGTTTTTGCTTATGCTTGGAGGCTGCCACTTCTGTCTTCCAGTGTTGTATATAGACTGTTTTCATCTGTCTTAGGCTGCATACCTGGAGATTTGAGGAGTGTTTTTGTGTGAAGGAATCTCATTTCTTAGCGATATCTTCACAGCTCAAGCAAATGCACTAGTTCAGCCTCTAATTAAAGATATCAGATTTGCCAAGCAACACTTTGTTTTGTTTTGTTTTGTCTAGAGCAAGGGGCTCGGGCGTTTATTTGCATTCGTGCTGTTTGAGTAGACATTCAGTTTATCTAAGTGGTATTTCACACCCTCCTACTGTAGTATCTATTTATGACTGATTTCTTCACCTGGCTTATTGGCATACTCTGTACAGTTAAATTAACTTTCATGATTTTAGTTGTAGGATAAGAATTCTGTTGGTTCTGTTCTTTTTTAACTGATAAAGGGAAGGAGAAAGGAGAAGGCAAATTAATAACAGTTTATCTCCTTCATTATTTGCCAAACATGAGCTGCATCTTCATCTGATACTTTATATTTGTAGGAAACTTTCAAAATGTTTACTGCAAGGATGCTTCAAATAGTTATCGAAAATGGAATCAAAAGTTAAGTTTCTTTTTGTCACCCACAAACAATTAAAATCCATGCATAGGAGTGGTCTTCTAAAATGTCATGAAATGCATGTGTTACAAAAAAAATATTTATGGATCAAAACATTCTTTGCACCAAAATAAACCTTTTAAAAGCTACTTTTGCTGAACTTTCTGAAGTACCCTTATAAACTTATTCTGTAAGTTTCTATAATCAAAGGGAAGTGGAATTGCTTTTTTATCAGGGGTTCAGTAAATTAGAATTGTGTCAACCATCTATTTTTGTGGAAGATATTGTAGCACTAAAACATCATTTAATACACTATACAGATACTGAGCACCTGCTGTACCTTGCACTGGGGCTTGAGCCTCACAAAATGAAAACCTTATTCTCTATAGAGATGGTTATGTCTTGAAAAAGTGAACTCATTCTGTTCTAAGAATTTCACATTTTCTAACGGTACTAAGTGTCATATATTGCAGCATAATTGATGACTCATTTAAGATAGATAGTGACATTCACTTAATAATAAAATAGATCAGTTTTCTTTAGATGATTTAGATCAGCACTCTCCAATAGAACCTTTTGTAATGTTGGAAATGTTCATTATTATCCTTTCTCCTAGCACTAGTCATGCATGCCTTTTGGTTATTTGAAAAGTGGTCAGTGTGGCTGAGGAACTGAAGCTTTTCAATTTTTATTGCATTTTAATTTATTTAACAACACGGAACTAGTATTGGCTGCACGTAAAAAACAGATATTAACTCCATTGTGGTTTTATAGGTATGTGGAAAGGGCATAAATGATGTGATATCAAATGAATAAGAGAAGTTTAAAGATGTGAGGGAGTCAAAAACAAGATTTCCAGAATGAAGCTATTCAGCACTAAAACAATTGTTCGAGTTTTTTCCCCTTTGCACTGGTATTTAGCCTCTGTTTCTCAGTATCCTTCTGTACAAAATGAGCAGTAGCTACTTTATATAATGATTACAATATGAAGATAAACTAAGATAACATGCTTAGATCTTATCACAGAGCCTGGCACTGTGTATACTGAGTGTGTATACTCTTCATACTAGCTATCTCATAGAATGCTAATACGTTTTCTTACTCTCTGGACTCCCGAGATATGCTGCACATGCAATGCTACCTGATAGGATGACAAACATACCCCAGTTGCTCTTTTTTGGATAGAAAACAATTTGTAAACTGTAACTCTGGTGTTTCCTCAGAGGTCATCATGAAAACACTTTCTTTTTAGAAACCACCCAGGGGATGAGATCATTTTGTGCTTTCTAAGGTTTATCTATTTGGAAGTGGGTGTTTCTGGGAGTGGATGTTTCAGTCCACCAGCTTTGTACTCTGTAGAAAACCATTGGGAATTGAAGTGCCAGTGGGCCTTTGGGCAAGCGACATCATTTTGATAGACTAAACAGAGGCAAAGACAAGGTAGTTGTAATTGCACTGTAATTCATTTTCAATGTTGTTGCATGCGTCTCTTTCAGCTACTGGCAGAAGAGTTGCCCTTGCGCCAGGGAATTCTAAAACAATTAAATGAAGCAGGAGGAAAGGCACTTGTAAGTGCTCCCGGAAGCCCAGAAGAGCGAGATAAACTTGAAAATAAGCTCAAACAGACAAATCTCCAGTGGATAAAGGTTAGCTATTAACCATCTCCTCTGCCACTTGTGTGTTAAATGCTTCAAGTGTTTGGTTTATTCCCTGGGTTCATTCTTGGTGGAAGAGAATGTGGGTTTGTAGATTGTCGTTTTGGTTTTTAACCTGATTGTTTTTGATTTGATGATATTCAGGCAAGATACATGTGGTCTAGTTCAACAGGTATCAGCAACAAAAATGACATGGTTCCTGTGACCTAATCAGTAGTTAATGTAAGCTCACTGTCTCTCAAAGGCAACTTAGAATCTTCATCTTTCAATCTTTGAGTTTTAAAAATATAGTATCAAAAATGCTAATCAAATTAAAATATACTTTTAAAAACCAAATGGTGCACATGAAATTTAATGAAAATCAGCATCATTAGTTATGTTGACAGACAGTAGTTTCCCCACTGCACTACCAGGACATCTTTATCATAAATGAAGTGATCTGTGTGTTGATTTTGAATTGCTTATCCTCTTCCGCTTGATTATGCCTGCCCATTAACTAGTACTACACTGGCTTAGTTGCAGTCTTTTATTTTTTTAAACAGATTTACTGAAATATTCCTCGCATACTGTTCAATTCACCCATCTAAAGCATGGCATTCAATGATTTCCTGCTATTAATGTGTATTATTGTGATAGAATTGTTAGTGTGAGATTTGTCATTTTAGCCTCGTTAGGCATACAATTAGCTCATTCATTACAACTGTCACCACCATCTATTTCTGAAATTTTTCCTCAATCTAAACAGAAACTCTGTTACTATTTGAGAATAGTTTCCTATCTCCCCTTCCTCTCATTGATGAGATTCCCAATGCTAGATATTTCATTTAAGTGGGAATATCCCGTATTTTCCCCTTTTTATGCTTACTTTGCTCAACTTTGCTGTCAAGTTTTAAAAATGCTTTAGCATTTAGCAGATATTAAAACTTCATTTCTTTTTGTGGTTGAATAATATTCTATTGGATGTATGTGTGTATGTATGGGTAAGTGTGTCTGTGTGCATGCATATTTTTTGAGAGCTATAGCATCTTGTAGTCTAAGTCCTCTAATTTTGTTCTTCAGTATTTTTATTTGAAAAAATGTAATCATCCTGTCTTTTTCTACATGAAGTTTTCCAGAACATTGACTGATATCATGTTGAAGGAGTAGATCAGTTCAAACATTTATAGTACTGAATAATCTAATATATACACAGGGTATATTAATTCCTTTATTTTATTAATTTTAGATTGTATTTTACACTTTCAGTCCAGTCACCCTGCACGAGATATGTTATATTGAAGCTCAGCTGAGATTTTTTTATGTTATCATAAGTAGAACTTTAAATTTTATTTTTTGTTTGGTGATTCATACAAATATAATTATTTGATTAATCTTACATATTGAGTATGTATACAATGTCCTGCAAACATTGCTTTATTAATGTTCATAGTATTAGAAGCTTTGGTATATTTTTTGCATGCAATTGTATCCTCAAATAGACACAGCTTATCTTTTTTCTAAAACTTGTCTGATTTTTATCATTTTTTGAAGACTAATTTTATTTATTTGAAAGGGATAGTTAGAGACAGGGACAATGGTAAAAGACAATCATCCATCCTCTGTTGCATTTCCCAAGTGGCTGCTACATCTGGGGTTGAACCAGGCAGAAGCCAGGAGTCAGGCATTTCTGAGTCTCTCCCATTGGTAGCAAAAGCTCAAGCACTTGGGCTGTCTTTCTCTTTTTCCAGGCACATTAGCAGGGATCTGGCTTGGAAGGGAAACAGCAGGGTCTCACTTGGTGCCCATAAGGAAAACTGGTGCTCCCAGATGGCTGTTTATCTTGTTTTGCCAAAATGCCAACCCCTCACTTTTAGGACATCCAAAACGATGTTGTATAGATATGGGTTTATTTGGGGGTCCTTGTTTTATTCCATGTCACAATTGTGCAATTTTAAGTATTTTTCGTTAAATGTGGGATTTGTAGTAGGTTTTTTTTAATCCTCTTCAATCACAGCAAGGACATTCTCTTCATTCCAGGCCTATGGATTTTTATTGTACATCAATATTGTACATTTTCCAGTAGTTTCTCTGTAGTAATTAAACATGTGAATTTTCTACTTATATGTGAAAATGGCAAATTGCATATTTTTTTAAATAAGAAATTACTCTGAGATTCAGGGAAGAAACTTTTACTGGCCATTTTGAACTATAGTCTTTTATAAGTTTGTTAATACCATGTTTAGAATTTTTATCACTTTATTTCATGTCAGACATGAGTCTATGTGTTTTTCTATTAATATTCTTCCCAAGTATTTTTAACGTTGTTACAGTAGCTTTATAAAATAAGCTGAAAGGCATTTTGTTGAAAGCTGGTGATATTTTTCCCAAATATTTTTGAAAATTTCAATTATTGAGTCATCTGAGCATGCTCCATTTTTGTGTAAGAGTAGATTTGGTTTCCTTAATAGATTTAAGAATGGTTTGATTTATTTTAAAATTTCTTTGTGTGTCAGCTTTTGTAGCTTGTGTCTTTGAATGAGTTTAGCATTGTCAGTTTCTTTCTTTGGGCTGTAAACTTCTTAAATACAGCTTGTGATCATTTATATATTTCTGCCTAACAAAGACAAAATAGAAAGATGTATGAAGAATTCCAATCTTTTAATGGTTCTTGTTGATTGTGAAACTTTACTGTATTTGCTGAGGCACAGAATTGATACACCTGAGGAATATCTTCAAATTCTATAATACAGAAGGCTTTGTTCTCAGATATTCACATTAATTCACACCTTCTAAGGTTCTCACTAGATACAAAGTTCAATTTCCTTAGATAAGAATCATTTTATTTGGGCCCAGAGTGGTAGCCTAGTGACTAAAGTCCTAGCCTTGTATGCACCAGGATTCCATATGGGCACTGGTTCTAATCCCGGCAGCCCTGCTTCCCATCCAGCTCCCTGCTTGTGGCCTGGGAGGGCAGTCAAGGACGGCCCAAAGCCTTGGGACCCTGCACCTGTATAGGAGACCCAGAAGAAGCTCTTGGCTGCTGGATTCAGATCTGTTCAGCACCAGCAGTTCCAGACATGTGGGAAGTGAATCAACAGATAGAGGATCTTTCCCTCTGTCTTTCCTCCTCTCTGTGTATCTGGCTTTTCAGTGGAAATAAATACGTTTTTTTAAAAAAGAATAATACACTTTTTATTTGGTCATTTGGTTAGTGTTAATGTATCAGCAAATAGTAAGAGAAGACTGTTTTTGTATAATAGTTTTCAACTAGGGACAAACTTTCATTTACAAAATTTGGTTATCCTCACTTTTACCTGCTACTTACTCCCATCCCCTACCATGGCATGGTTTAAACACTTTCCGGGATCTTACACATTCAGTTCTCTTAGTTCCTAATGCTATTGCTTCCTTACCTCACATGTCTCCGTGTGTGTGTGTGTCTTGGATGTTTTTGACATTCAAACATGCTCTAAATCTTTTCAGCTACTTTTGACCATAGTTTAACTGCCTTGTTAATCATATTTAGTATATTTTAACTTTGTTATATGCAAAACATAAATCAAATATCAATGCCATAAACTGGAAGCAAATCATCACCAAGAAGATATAACAGAGCCATAATTTACATATGCTATAACATTACTTTCCTAAAAAAATTTCACAATTATCTCCAAAGAATTGCTTGTTATTCATTAGCGCCCCACAGAATTGATGTATAAAGAAATTATAGCGAGAAAAACTCTAATCTTTGAAAAGAAAATGAGCTTTCACTTTGAATCATGTCAGGTTATTCTATTTTTAATTGATAATGCTGAGGTTTTTATATCACTTACATAACTAGTAAAATATTTAGGAACTAATATTATAAAAATTTCACAAGATTGAATCAAAAGGTGTACTTAAGAGTCTATAATTCAAGTAAATAGATGTTTGAAAAAAAGTTCCCCTTTACTTCCATACATCAACCCATTTCTTGTTTCTGCAATTAGGATAAAATATTCCAACTTTATTTTTCTACTAAAGAATGAAATTTGTTCTTTCAATGATTTAAAAATGGTATGTAAATTTATTCCACACTTCATACTAGAGGAAATGTGGTTCCTAGTGATAAAATGTTTTGGCAATATAACAACACAAAGTCATTCCTCAAAGGAGGAGGACAAGGAAGAAAATCATCACCCCTCCATGATTCTGCAATAATCCAGTACATCTTGAAATTGCAAAAATAAATTTCAATTTTGAGAAATGTGAGAGAACTATCTAAAATGCACTGAAATGCACTTTGAAATAGTGGAATTTGTGGAATCTATATTCCACAATAGATTCGAAAGTTAAAATTTTAGGAAAGATATTTGAACTAAGCCTATGAACACATTATAGACTTCTGTCATTATAGCATCCACAGTACTGTGTATGCTACTGCAAGATTTGAATTTCAGTGGCTTGCCTTTGCCATTAGATATTAAAGATTTTTGAGATTTTCTTTATTCATCAATTTAAAATCATATCATTGTATTTTCACTCTATCTCTGTTCAGATTGAGTGATAGTAGGTAGCACGTAATCAGTACCAGATTTAGTGCTGCTTACAAGTCAGTCATTTTTTTCAAAATAAAGAAAGATGGCTTTGAATCATTGAGAAGTATACTTGATCCTTTTTGTGTGTCGTCCTCCTTTCAGTTCCAAGCTGATATAGTTGGGCCTAACACATGAAGGTTGGTGGGTCACAAACAGAGGATCTTCAAAAACACATGAAAAAACATGTATTGTAGGAAAAAATGAATATTTAAGGCTTTTCACCAACACAAATTTATCTTTTAATTCTATTTTTTCATAATCTTTAAGATATCTTTTCTATGTCAGATTCTTAGCAACAGAGCAGCTCCCCAAATTCCCAATTTCATACTCTGATGACAAACACCTTTCTCAGCTAACACTGATATGATGCATTCTTCACTTTTAGCTAACTTACTGGTTTCTTGATTATCTCTATGCTTCTGTATTGACGATGGA